GTGTAACTCTGTGGGAAATCAGCGTGAAAATATCGTCCCCTAAAGTGATGGAAACGTGACTTTGTGTGTACCTGCGTATAAAAGCTTCAAAGGCCTGGAAACAATACTCTCTCAGCTCATCATCTTCTACTCCGGTGAACTTTACCACCATTGGGATCAACTTCTCTAAATGTTCACCTACAAACCACAAAAAATGGGAAAAGAATCTACACTTTAGATTTTTTTCTTCACTAAATGACACAAAAATGCATGAAGAACCAAAGTTTAAAAAGATCCACGAGTCAGCAGCCATGTGGGGGCTTCATACAGTGCAAGGGCACCAGATGAAGGGCCAAGGGCCGACTTCCCTCTACAGAGAAAGTTGGAGGAAAGTCGTCATCTTAGCTATCAGTGCTAAATTGAATTCTAGATCATCTGAAAGTCATTTACATACCTGAGTGTGGACCAAACATTTGCTACATTAGTGAAACTAAGAAGATTTATTCTCAGCTTTCTATAAAAAACAGTCAGAATACAGGAGCGCTGGACTATCAACATCTGAAACCTTTCAGAAAACCAGTCACTGTCCTACTAGTTTGTTTCCCCATTCAGCACTGAAGGCGGCATAAACACAGCATCAGCTCACCGACTCGATGGCCGCCCTGACGACTAATGGTTGCCAGGCACTGGATGTATGTCCTTGTCATTGATGTGGGCGGACCCTTGGCCAGCTCTTTCATCAGGTGTTCTGTCAGCTGGGAGAAGAGGGCAGAGCTGCAGCAGGGCACCAGGTGACCGAGAGCTAAGATGGAGCGCTTCCTGACCGCCATTCTGGGGCTGGTTAACTGCAGCATCCAAATGACGAATGAATGAAGAAACATTAACGAGCAGATAAAGGGACAAATGAGTAAAAATACAATCAAATAAACTGCACAACAAAATGAATGAAAGTCATCATAAAGCTGTTAAAGCATACAGGAAATATAGTGAAAGCAATGTGAAATGAGAGAAAGTGATGTGCACCATTCTTATAAAAACGGGTTTCTTATAATAATATGAAAAATATCCTGTTAGCTTAAGTATACTAATAATTATGTCTAAAAACAGATGACAGTGATTTTTTGGGTTGTCATGGTAGCACTACACTGTAAAACCACAGTTAACATTTGAGTGGCTGCGTGTTTCTCACCTGAGGCAGCAGGCTGGAGAGCAGAGAGCTGTGGAAACTGACCAGTGCACCACTCAGCCTGTGGGAAAAAAGCAAACAGTGAAAAGCTTAAAAGTTCAGCAACGTGTACTGTGTGTGTGTGTGTGTGTGTGTGTGTGTGTGTGTGTGTGTGTGTGTGTGTGTTTGAGCTGGTACTTTTCTAATGTGGGACCGTCATCACGTTTGGACCGAGATCTTGTTTTTACCTTCCCAACATGTCTGACAGGATGTCCAGGGCCTCTAACTGCACAGACACATCATCGTGTTTCCCCATGGCACCAATCAGCTGGGAGGTAATCTTCTTACACACGCTGCCTGTCAGAGTCACACCTGTTGATCCAACCCAAAACAAGGATGTTTAAACAACTTTGAGTTTTCACTGCCTTCAAATGATCAGACATCCTGATTTCAGCTCACATTAAGGACTGTAGTTGCTGAATAATTGTGACAATTAAGCCCAGATGGCAGCGAAGATGTGCAGAAATTAATGGCGAAAAAGTGAGAATTTACAATTATTGGTTATTATTTGGTGAAAACACAAATATGGCATGTTGTAGCTGTGTAGGTAATTTCAGACACTTTTCAGAAACTTATTAAAGTAAAATATGAATGACTGTCTACAATGTAAGCTTTGCTTCTATGCTATGTATTATTGATGCTCTTCATACTCTCGAAGTTGCCCCTTTAACATAAGATGGAAATCCACCATTAAAAGCTGATGATCACGACGAGGAGACAGGTGGGAGGACAGTGAGAGCCCACCTGAGGATGTGAGTGGCAGCTCTGCGATCACGGTCTTCAGTCCCATGCTGGAAATGTCCCTCAGCTGCTCTTTGTCCGACGTCATGTTTGAACACAGCACGTCCACCATCGTCTCCACCTGGGGCTCCTTCACTTTGCTCACCAGAGGCGCCAGGCTTAAAAACAAACACACCAAGTTAAAAAATGTCAGAATTTTGTTTCAAACCACTATTGGTTTAAATAATTATGTAATAGAAATATGACCTGTAGTATCTAACCAAGCACTTTGCAAACACAAAAAGGTGTCTA